GCAGCTGCTGCTGTTTGGCGCTGCTGCTGGCTGCTGCTGCTGCAGTTACTGGCCCTGCACAGCTGCTTAGCAGCTTCTGTGCTTGCTTAGGACTGCAGGAAGGAGGCAGCAGCAGCAGCAGCAGCAGCAGCAACGAGCCCCAGACACTGTGTTACCCAGCTGCTTGGAGGTGTGCTGCGGCGTGGCGTAGGCGGGGCATCTATGGAGATGCAGCTGCAGGTCAGGTGCAGCAGCAGCAACAGCAACAGAGGCAGCAGCAGCAGCAGCAGCAATAGCAGCAACAGCAGTGGCATCAGCAGCGACTCTTGCTGCAGCAGCAGCAACTCTCGTAGCGTGAGCAGCAACAGCCTCTCCGGCAGCAGCAGCAGCTTGTCTTGCTGCCGTTGCTGAGCCTGGAGACATACGGCAGTGCGCCTGACTGGCATTGTGTTGTGCTGCTGCTGCTGCTGCTGCGTTGCAGCTGCTAGAAAGCCTCGTGGTGCTGCAGCACTACGACGGGGTGTACATACACGGCAAGCTGCTGCCGGCGCTCCTGGCGCGGCTGCCGAAGCCAGCAGCAGCTGCTGCTCTCAGGCGCACTGGAGACAAAAGGCTTCAAGTGGGCAGAAGCTGCAGCAGCTGCTTGCTGCTGCTGCTGCTGCAGCTGCTTCTGCGCCGTGCTGCTGCAGCTTTAGATGGCTGGTGGTGGCTAGGCGGCGTGTGCTGCCGGTGCTTGTGCGCTACAGCTGCTGCTGCTGTGCTACCGCTACTGCTGCTGCAACTAATGTTGCTGATGTGCTACCGCTGCTGCTGCTGCTGCTGCTGCGCTGCTGCGTGGCAGGTGTACGCGCGCCTGCTGAAGTGTCTCAGCAGCTTTCCTGCTGCATCTCCCGTGTCTGCGGATTTGCTGCGGGCCATAATAGAAGGGCTTCCTGCTGCAGTGACATTTTCTTCTTGCATGGATGCCGCAGCAGACGCCATTGCTGCTCTGCACCAGGTAAAGCAGCAGCAGCAGCAGGAGCAAGAGCAGCAGCAGGAGCGGCAGCAGCAGCAGGTGGAGGTGCAGGGAGGTTTCCTTTTGCGTCTGCTGCTGCTGCTGCCTGCAGCTAGAGTGCTTCGACTACAGCAGCTTCTCAGCAGCAGAAGCTGCGCTGCTGCGAGACCGGCGGCAGACGCTGCAGCAGCTGCGACCTGCCCACATTCAGGCCCTGCGCAAAGCCTATGAGGCCTTTAGTGCGTCTTGCTGCTGCTGCTGCTGCTGCTGCTGCTGCTGCCGCTGTTGCTTCTGCTAGTCATAGGGCTGCACTTGCCGCTCCTGGCTGCGTCAGCGCTGCTTCTGTTGGTTTTCCTGGTTCTGGTGTTGCTGCTGCTGCTGCTGCTGTAGCTAGGAAGGCAACTAACCAAGCCAAGAAGCAGAGCCACAGCTGGCTGCAGCGCAGCTAGTTAGCTAGTTGTTCAGCCTTCTTTGGCCGCTGCTCTTTCCTGGCCCCGCGAGCTCAGCTCGGTACTGCTTTTGCTGCTGCTGTTGCTGCTGCTGCTGCTGCTGCGCCAGAGGAGCACGAGGAGGGAGATGAGAACGCGTGGGAAGAGCTGCTGTTGTTCCTGCGGCGGGTTGAGTCCGCTCTGGAGCGGGCCGGCGTGCTCGAGCCAAGTGACTCGCAGCAGCAGCAGCAGCAGCAACAAGAGCAGCAGCAGCAGCAGCAGCAGCCGCAAGAGCAGCGGCAGCAGCAGCAGCAGAGCGTGGTGGTCCACACGTACTCGAGCTCTCGGGGCCACCAGTCAGAGGAAGTGCCTCTGACCCGAGGCAAAAGCCTAGAGAGCCTTAGGGGGCAAAATTTTTAAATTTTATTCTTTTTGTCTTTTTATTATTATCATGATTATTATTATTATTGTCACTATTATTATTAGTTTTATTATTATTATCAGTATTACTTATTCTTATTACTGCTACTGTGCTAAGTGGTTTGTTTCTTTTCGGAACAAACCAGTTAGCAGCAGCTAGCCAGGCGCGGGTAGCGGCGGGCGCGAGGG